GGGAAGGGGGAAAAATAAGAACCAAGAGAGTTTGTAAAGGTGCATATCTCCAATGATGAATGTCATTATGTTGTACACCTAAAATGTACCAATAAAAGGATATCCAAAACAAAAAAAAAGAAAAAGAAAAAGAAAAAAGCACCTTGGGCCTGGGTAATTCTATAGACAGTTAAGTTCAAAATTCAAGGACATGACCTCAGTGTGACTGAGTTTTCATTTGCTGGATCTGATGTACCTAAGTACTTATTGTTGTTTTCTTCTATCTTAGTCTATACAGTTCAGCCACAAGCAATTCTATTAATTACACACTGGGCAGGCAATTTATAAACCTACAAAGATATAGCATACTTTTGTAGGATGCTCAAAGTGAAATGCTAGAGTTGACTTTGCAGGAGTATTTTCTAAGGGACAAAATTGCCCATTCCTTAAGCAAATAAACTTGTGAAATAGAACTGAGGATCGAACTCATGGGAGCTTGAAATCTCCAGTTTTCACCCTTGAATTAAATCCTGTAGAACGTTCTATATACCTAGTGATCTTGAAATCTTCCAAGAGGTTTTTTATATTCATTTTAGTAAAATATATGACTGTCATAGTTTTTAGGTAATGAATTAATTTGATATTATGAAAAATTGAAATAATTTTCTGAATAGTTTATTTTGAGTACACTTCACTGGAAATATTAAAATAATTTATTAATAAACACTTCTATAGCAATCTAATGCTGAAAATTAAAATGGTCTCACTATTACTATTTTTGCTTCAGCTCTTTTTAAATAAAAGAATCAACACAAGGAATGCAAACATTATGTACTGCAACCATGTACAAAACAAGGAAGGTGATCAAGAGATGGGGAATGAAAAGGCAATGTGAAATACGAATTAGCATTTCTTTGGAAATGTCCTTTCCTTTTATTGTGACAAATGTCCGTGTGAATTTGGTATTCAAAATCCAGTGTTTTATATATTAACTTTATACTTATGTATTCACAAGTCATAGAATTTTATTTTACATATTTTAATTTGCTTAAGTGGTATTTTACTATATACTCTTTCTGTAGCCTTGGTTTCTTTTAAACAAAATTTCATAGGTTTAGGATATATTTGTGATAAAACATATTGCTCTAGCTCATCATTTAATTACCTTATAATATTCAATGTATGACTATACCATATTTTAATATTTATTTACTTCTCTATTGATAAACACTTAGGCTAATCTTTTACTCTTTAATTCTTAAAAAGTATGTTCTTAATTAT